TAACTAATAATCACATTATATCGCAACAAGCCTATTCTGCTGCTTACCTTCTGAGAATTGGAAACATAATATCATATTCTTCAGGATTCTTATCCATTTCATGAAATTAGTCAAGATTGATTTTGAATTCACAAATCCTGCAGGGCCTAAAAGGGAAATTGTAGTTTGAGTGAAAGTCAAAACCAAACTTATTCCATATTTTAAACCGCATTTTCAGATGTTTGAAAATTAGAGACTTTTGATCCCATATATGGATGCATTCTGGTGTCCAGTATGATCCATTACATGAATATCCAGCACTATGGAGTCAATGGAGTCCAAAAGCTGCAAAAATCAAAGCTTGCGTTAATGTGTATGGATTTACATTCCATGCAATATAAATAAAGGGCAAATTTCAGAGTAACATTGATAAAAGTTAATAAGACAGTTGTTCTGGAGGGTTCTTTCCCCTGAACATGTGTGAATACATCTTTAAGGGAGCGCCGACCTTTGATGTGGTAATGAACGGGTGCCATCGTAAACCACAGGCTAATTAAGCACAGATTGGTGGAATAAATTGGAGAAAAGTTGCATGTTTTTATCTTGGTGTGTTATAAATTAAAGATGTAAACATATACTGTAACTGCATTTTTTAACTATCAAGGCTTTTTTTTTTATAGCCCTAAATCACAACAGTAGTCATCTCGAGAGACTTTGCAAAGTTGTCAATTTCCCAACACAGATCCGATAATCAAACCGTTCAAAGACAGGAACTGCAATAGAAACAAACATAGATGATAATACATGATAATAAATGATGATTAATGTCCTGGATCATTCCCACTGTCCTTAGACCCTCCTGCATCAGAAAAGATCAACTCAAAAACCCAGTGGGACAAAGTGAGAAACCTTGGGAAGCCCCACATTGAGAGAGGCATCCACCCCCACGGACGGACAAGCTATAGATCCAGGACTCAGGTTGTAGAACAGAAACCAAGGCCACATGGAGGACTGAAGTATCTCCCAGGCAGAGAGGGAGGAGCAGCCCACAAGTACAGGTCGTAGGAGAGAGTCCACAGGTGTATATGATATAGAAACCTTAACTTCCATTACTTTCTGCACAGGCTTATATAATATTTCATGTATTTCACTGTATTTTATAGAGAGACATAGAATATGATCTAACTTATTGCTCATTTTGCATTGAACAAAACTTCTCCAAAAATACTCACTCTTGTACAAAATAATACATTGATACATTCCATCATGCGTGTAACATTGCTTTCACATTGTAGGCAGTCCTCTACAGCTTCTCTCTTCCCACCTAATGGTAATTGTTGGCAGCCTGATGCTAACAGAATATTAATTGCGGCGCATGCATAATATTTGGGCTTCTGTTTGAAAGCACATGCACACATTATGGGAAGCGTGTTATCGCAATAAATCGGGGGGAACATGAGTGCACGTGTAGATAGTGAATCTGCAGTATATTAGAGAGAGAGAGGGGCAGCACATCTGATTGGTAACCCAGCATACATTTGTGAGAATACAGCGTAAAGTGGTATTTATGTGTCTTATACATTGCAAAATATGCATTACACAATGATTTGATCAATATTGCCATCTTTGACTTTGGATGCACCAATTATTATTATTATTATCTTTCCGTACCTATTGTGGGATTTTGAAACTATCTGTTGACAATAAGACCATAATATACAACATTATTTTTCAAGATTTAAATTAAATATACATTAGCTCTCGTTTTTCAATCAAAAAACAATTGTATAAACTTCTCGCTGAGCCATAAGAATTTGGCTTTAATTGCACTTGCCCGATACTGCCCAATTACAACTAAACTTGTGAGGTAGCCATAGACCAAAGGCTTCAATGTGTTTGTTAAATGTGTATTTCCTGTTTGATTCTCTGATCTGCTGAGTTGTCTGATCCAACTTTGTAAAGTCCTCCGAGGCGACTGCTGTGGTGATTTAGGGCTATCCAACATTGAGTTGAATTGAATGGACACAGTAGATTAATCCTTTTATGAATCTGACATGGACTTAAACGTGCTGAAAAGAAGTTTAATGTGGACAAATGAAAAGGATTATTGAATTGGTTGTCAATAGATTTATAACTCAGATTATTTTGTTCTTTTCTTTTTATCAAACAATCCAATGTGTAACTAATGCCGACGTTCTCCCACGTGTAAACAATGCTAAATTTACTGATTTTTCGGGGAAATAATTGACTGACTAATCGGTTATCTAAACAATCATTCATTACAGCCCTTATAGTTTTAATGCTGTTTCAGAAGGTGGAGCTTTACTCAGTGGTTTAGAAAATCAGATCTTGTTTTTGGGTGGCTAACCAGAACAGAATGAGTTGTTTTGACTTTGATAATAAGTTACTCTGCAGGTCATCTGCTGTGACTGTGGTCATTTCTGTCATTGTGCTGTAGGTGTCAAAGCCGTGAAAGGAACAGTTATACAACAGTGGGCCATGTCAACACAACCTAGCTTAATCATGGACGCACAAAGCAACAATATGACCATGTGGACACTGGACAAGAAAATACAATTGCATGTATATGTAAATAACCTCTACTATTTGACGATTATTTGCATCTGTTATTTGGGAGTGTCAAAATATCATATAATTTCCGTGTTCTAATATGTTGCAATTCCTCTACTATACTGAAAAAAGTATATGTGCATGTGAAAGCTTGATCCTGTCAGATCTATATGCTAAGCAGACCTGGACCTGATTAGTACTGTGATGGGAGACATTTGGGAACTCCAGGTGCCACAGTGGGGCAGCTGCGGGTTTGAGTGTCCAAAAAAAATTGAAACCAATGTATCATTATCATTGGTAAGATAAAATAATTTGGTTTAGGGAAGTTTTTATCTTGACAGTTTATTTTTGAATGTCTTAAATGGAATATTTTTGCTTGAAATGAGAACAAATTTGGCTTTTGCACTTGAAACAAGAATCACAATTGTTGGTGCATATGAATACAAAATGTTTTTGTACAATATTATTTAAACATTACCAAATTGAGACCAAATTTACCAAAATACCAAATCAGATGTTGTAGAAATGATTTTTCAGTTCAATTAAGTTGAATGGAAACAATATTGCCCTGTTCGTGCTTTACCCTCTTTTTAGCAAAGTGTTTATTATTGTATACAACCCAATAGTATATTACTGACATATCAACAGCTTGGATCACTTTCTGTTGTTGACTGTCCTAAAAAAAACCTCTACCCTTAATCTCCTGAGATTATCACAGGTTACGTCACAGCGAGGACTGTTACGGTACTTTTGGATGACAAGGCAAATGAAACCAATTACATTTGATTTCACATGAGCTCTGTTTTTATAGTAGCTCTGTTTTTGAGAGCTATCGGCCTCTTTTTATTATAGTGGTGGATATGTTTAATGTTTTAGCCAACATAGTATGTTTATTGTTTAGATATATATTGTATATTATGCCAATATATGCAATACTTTAATCACACACATTCTCTTGTCGTTATATATAAATTTTTCCTCTTAATCTTTTTTTAAACCTGTGCATGTATGTATTTTATTGTGTTTTACCCAACACATGCACTGCAGTTATTTTTTAAGATACAGTATATATTTTTTATGGTATTTTTTATTTTATGATATTATTTATGTTTTATGATATGATTTATTTTTCACAAAATTGTGTATTATTATGATATTATTTATGTTTGAACTATTTATGTGTATGATTATTATTATTATTATTATTATTATTTGTTTAATATGGGCATAACAATAACATTGGACAAACCAGATGTATTTTTTAAGTGTTAAAGCACCTAGTTTGCAACACAGGGAGCTTTTAAGTAAGTAAGTAAGTAAGTAAGTAAGTAATCTTTATTTATATAGCACCTTTCACAGAGTCACAAAGCGGTTTACAATTGTGGGCATTTGTCTCTCTCTCCACACATAGATGGGAGTTACATAAGAAAAGAAAAAGTATATTTCATACAACTAATATAAAATGTACAGATAGGAACAACTCTGCCTCGATCTGAATCTCCATTTCCAGACAATATCATGAACCGGGAATTGTTTATTGTCCTGGAGAAAATACTCTTGTCCTAATTAAACAACTGTAAATGCAAATACATGAAAACACACACAGCACATGGCCGCCCCACTGCTGTCTCCATGGTGCTCAGCTGGTGTGGCAGAGAACATTAGCGTGCATGATAAAACATCAGATGAAAAACAGATGTAAAGTCCCGTCACCTGCGTGCTCTCATATATGTCCACTGTAATGTTTATATGTGCAGTGCGAAGCTACAGATATGCACTTTGGCCTTGTGTACATAGTTTAACCCCAGGAGACTAGACTGTAAAGCAATATAATGCCAAATGTAACAACTCCAGCGGTGTTAGTACAGTATGGTCTTCAGACATGAAATTGGTTAGTTTATATTTGAAAAGAGAAAAGGATATTGTCATCATCTTGCCAAAACAGCTCGGTAACTCAGCCCGCCCTGATGACATAAAAAAGTCCCAAAGATCGTCGGACTGAAGAATTCCTTTGTCCTTAAGTCATTGTCAGCTTAAATTATGAATTGAAATGTGTCAGAGTGAGTGTGTCTTAATTAAAGTGATAGTCTGGAACTCTAAATGATTTGCACATTTTAAGAATTGTTATAAATTGTCCTCCTGGCCTTAAATGTTGATATGAAATAAGTCATTTTATGAATCCTAATATTACGGGTAAGTCTCGCCTTCCCTTCTCTTAGCTATAGCTCAAAATCCACAATGTCGTCCAGTTTAACCAATAAAGTGATGCCAAGGGCTGTCAATCCTCGCCGCTCATGCTCGTAGCTGCGCGCATGCTCAGTTTTTTTATATATAGCATGTATGTTTCAATGAAGAGTCCCTTTTCCACCCAATTGAGGAAAATAATTTGCCGAATGAAGTTCAAATTTAAGCATACATATTCTAATCTGTATTCCCTTTCTTGTGTCCAGCTCTTTCCAGAACGATGATGACGACGAGGTCACCAACAAAACATGGGTGCTGACTCCCAAGGTGTACGAGAGCGACGTCACCCACATCCTCAACGGCCTGCTGGACGGCTACGACAACAAGCTGCGGCCCGACATCGGAGGTGGGTGGAGCTTTTGCATTGAAAGAGTGTCGCTGTAAGATGTCTGAAAATATACAGTGCCCATGTTTTAACTTCTATCTGCATGCTACCTGCTTTCATGTATTTAGTCAATCACAGTGATGACGGGAACAGACGTGTTGATGAAGTGGACTTTTATAACTTATTTATTTATTGTTTATTTGGTTGGGACAGTACATGTTAATGAACATATCACTCCGGATTGTAGCCATGGGGTAATTTGCATCTGTTGTCCCACATTCACACTCACAAACACACACACCCTGTACATGTTTTTAGTGGTAGGGGAAACCGGAGTACCCGGAGGAAATCTACGCAGACACGGGGAGAACATGCAAACTCTACTCAGAAAGGCCCTGTTCCGACTGGGAACAGGGCCAGGGTCAGGGTAAATGACACATTTACAGCAATGTTGATTAATGTGTATCGTCCCTATTCAAATAAACAATTAAATGAAAAAAAAAATTAAACCCAGAACCTTCTTGCTGAGAGGTGAGAGTGCTATCCACTCAGCCACCGTGCCGCCCAATTAATATAATGAAATGTTGCATATCTGTTAGAGGAGTTTATCTTTGGATCTTTGATGATGATCTTAGAATCTTAAATTGTTTATACAGTTACTTCTGTATGTGTTTTCTAATGTGAACACTTAAATGTTTTCACTTATACTAAAAACACTAATATAGAGGGTGTAGGTAAAGTAATCATTAGCTTTAGCATTTGCTTCAGCCTACACCCGGTAGGTCTTTGGGCTGAAAAGTGATTCTTCTGTTATTTTGTACATACATGTGCAAGTGATCAAAATAAAAATGCATGATAACTATCTTCTCAATTCATCCAATGAGCTTAATATAAACATATCCATAGCTATAATGATATAATTTAAGATAAAACACTTTATTTGTCCCAAGGGAAATAAAGCCGCTCAGTGATCCTCCTGCAGGTGGTGAGTCCACAGGAGCCTTGATCTTTTGGTGAGGGCTGCAGGCTAAGTGGGGTTAAGTGTCTTGCCCAAGGACACAACGACAGCAGTCATAAGTGGGAGTCGCTGGAGAGGGTCTCGTAGTGGGCTTGAACCAACACCCTTCAGGCTCAAAGGCCAATGCTCTACCAACTGAGCCATATACATTATTAAAAAATAAGAAGTAAAAATAAGTAATAAAGTAAAATACAATTGTATTGTTACAGTACTTACAATACAGTACAGTAAGTTAGTACAGTGTTTTACAGAGTCAATCCTTTGACTTTAAACCGCGTTTTGATAGGCCCGAAGTGAGCAACAAACCTCACCGCACGTCACTGGGTGGGGGTGGGGGATGGGGGTTGTGGCACAGTCTTGTTTGTCAAACGGTCGCTATTGTAAAACGCACAACTCACACTGAGAGAGGGATTCAGACTGCAGACATCACTTAAGTCCAAACTTTAGCAGGACTTCTCTTGTACTGCTTTTGTAATGAGCTCATACACATGAGGAAAAGGCCAACAAAAGGCGACGTAATGCTGCCCTGCGCGTGTGATGCATTGTTTACTTTTCACTCCACAAACCCAGCGTCACTCTATCTAACCATAAAACCGAACATATGAGTCGGATTGTTCTCAAATAAAAAAAATGACTTAAAGCTAGAGATGCGCTGATTATATTCATGGATGAGTCTTAGTCTGTAGAGTTCTTAGTTTTGTGTAAACAGCATGTTTGTCCTTCGCACACGAGCTAAGGCTGCAAGTTTTACAACACCTCTCTCTCTCTCTCTCTCTGTCTCTCTCTTTCTCTCTCTCTGTCTCTCTCTTCTCTCTCTCTCTCTCTCTCTCTGTCTCTCTCTTCTCTCTCTCTCTGCAATAATAATCTACGACTTATGTTTTCAACAGTTAACGGATTAACAAACCCCCCTGTTCAGCTGCCATTCGAATTTGCTTTAGAATCTAAATGTAATGAGTTTGCACAATTTTTCAATGACAAGGTTCAGAGCATCAAAAACGCCATCACCTCCAAGGCAGAAATAACATTACAACAGCCGGTGAGGCTTTTTGAGCTATTGCACTTTGCACCAACAGATAATGAAACTGTCCAAGATGTTGTCTCTAGCCTTAGTTCCTCCACATGTAGCCTGGATGTACTACCCACTAAATTTTTTAAGTCTGTTTTGAGCAGTCTTTTACCTTTGCTCACACAAATAGTGAACATGTCTCTCTCATCTGGAACATTTCCAATGGCCCTGAAAACGGCAGTCATCAGACCCCTCCTAAAAAAGAGGAGTCTAGATGCCACAGTTCTTAAGAATTACCGCCCCATTTCAAATGGGAAAAATTCTGGAAAAAGTTGCTTACCAACAACTTACAGAATTCTTAGTAACTAATAGTTCCTTTGATGCGCTCCAGTCCGGCTTTAGAGCCAATCACAGCACTGAGACTGCACTAGTGAAGGTTACAAATGACATCCGACTTAACACCGACACAGGAAAAGTCACAGTTTTAGTAATGTTGGATCTGAGTGCTGCGTTCGACACAGTCGACCACGAGATCCTCCTGCAGAGACTAGAGCACTGGGTGGGTGTCATTGGGACTGCCCTAAGTTGGTTTAGGTCTTACCTAGAAGACAGGAAATACTTGGTTCAGATAGGAAACTGTGTCTCAGATGATATGGCTCTGACCTGCGGAGTGTCACAGGGATCAATTCTGGGACCTCTTCTGTTCAATATTTACATGCTGCCATTAGGTCAGTTAATACGCTCCAACAATGTATCCTACCACAATTACGCTGATGACACTCAAATTTATGTCTCACTTACTGCAGGAGAACATGGACCAGTGGAATCACTCCTTCACTGTACTCAACAGATTAGTGATTGGATGCAAAATAACTTCCTTCAGCTAAACGCAGACAAAACAGAATTGATTGTCTTTGGTCCTCAGAAACAAAGAGAGAGCGTTATTCGTCACCTCCAGTCTCTCTCCCTGGAACCTGTAGGCAAGGTTAGAGTTAGAGAGCAGGTTAGAAGGTTAGAGAGCAAGAGTTATAATGGACTCAGACTTAAATTTTAACAGTCATATCAAATCAGTAACATTAGCAGCATTTTACCATCTGAAAAACATTGCCAAAATTAAAAACATAGTGTCTAAATCAGATCTGGAGATTCTCATCCATGCATTTGTCTCCAGTAGGTTAGACTACTGCAATGGCCTGCTCACAGGTCTCTCCAAACAGGCTGTAAAACAACAGCAGTACAGTATGTCCAAAATGCTGCAGCTCGAGTCCTGACCAGGACCAGGAAATATGACCACATTAGTCCAGTCCTCAGGTCTCTGCACTGGCTTCCTGTGGCTCAGAGAATAGACTTCAAAGCAGCACTGCTTGTGTACAAGTCTCTCCATGGCCTCGCACCAGGGTACTTAAGCGACTTGTTAGTCCCATATGAACCGACCCGGACTCTGAGGAGCACAGGAGGTAGCCTCTTACTGGTTCCAAGAGTCAGAACTAAACATGGGGAGGCAGCGTTTGAGATTTATGGAGCTAAAATCTGGAACAATCTTCCTGAGGATGTGAGGCTAGCATCTACTCTGGCAATTTTCAAATCACGGCTAAAAACTGTTCTTTTTAGCTGTGCATACGGCTGAAGGATTCTATTGATACATACTCTTTTTTTTTATGCATTGTGCTTTTAATATTTTAAGGTTTTTTTCATTACTTGTGATTTTATTCTGTTTTTAATGTATTTATTGTTTGTATATGTAGTTTTTGATGTTTCTGATTTGTCTGATATTATGTGGGTTGTGAGGCGCTTTGAGTGGCCTTGTGTTGGAAAGGCGCCATACAAATAAAGTTGATTGATTGATTGATCTATCTCTCTCTCTCAGGTGAGTGTAGCGCAGACCGGTGCACGTGGAGCTTGATAAACATGTAAACTTTAAATACAATTGGAATTCAACTCCACAATCAGCACCAACCAAACTGCAGGAATAAAAATGCAACTTGCTGCCTCTGTTATGCTCTTACTTTGAAATAGCATTCAATAGCAGCACATTTAAACATGAAATACATTCTCACAATATTGCTAATAAAAATTTAGGACTGGTTAGGGATCGAACCCCGATCGTCCAAACTAAAGTCTTGGACAATTGTGATACGCCACACAGACGCTGGAGAAAGTAGCGTATAGACCCAAAGCGGCTAAAGCAGAGATCACCCGCGTCTCATGGAAAATGAAATCAATTGGTCAGCACATGCACGGACCTTGAACACACAGCCAATTTTACAACATGACATTTCCTTTTGACAAGGAAAGAAGATAACAAGCTGATAACGTTACGTAATTGCACACAAGCAACCAAAAGGTGTGCAACCAAGATTGCCTCAGACAAGAATCGAACCTGGATCCCGCAGGTTCTAACTTGCAACGCTAACCATTCGGCCAACATAGTATCACTAGGCAAAAAAAGTTTGCACGCAGTCTTATACCTGAGCGTTTAAGTCGCTGGCAGAGCTAAAGCGGACTTAACCTGCCACCTTGTGGCGATAAGATGTAATCTGTTTCACGCAGCTGCGTGATTCATGAAAAGCGTGAGTGAAGACGACAAAACGAAATGGGACCTACTGTACTTTTTATATTATGATAGAATACAAACCATACCCGTACCCAGTGCCTATGGTCTTCATTGTGCAACATTTGTGCTCGTTCCTCTAAGATCAGATAAAGCCAGTATATTGTTTGCCGCCTTTGTTTACGTCTTTAGAACGACACGGCCCGATGTGTGATTCTTGCTAGATTTTGTGTTGCCATCTTTTTCTTATCTTCAGGTCAGTCCAATTTGGCATCAGACTGCATCACCCCTGTTGTCATAGTGACGGCTAGCAATTAGCTTGGAGAGCAACACAGACTTTGGGCAAATGTTTTTTTTCTCTATAACAAAGCCACACGCAGCTTTGTCACACTTCCACTTGTACGGTGTATTTATAGGCTTGTCACAATAACTAGAAACCTAATATA